CTGTAAGGACTTCTCTGTTGATACCCACCCCTTGACGCTCATATGACCTTATGCAGTTGCGAGCGCCGTAAAACCCTCTACTAAAAAAAAAAGAAGGTAGTTAAAAAAGATTTATGTCATGAGTTATCGTAAATCATATAGATTCAGAAAACATATCCACAATGTAACACAGACTTCAAAGTGGTATGTGAATATAACATATATTTATCGAAAACTAGACAACACTAGCCCCGAATCTAGAGAGATAGTGCTTGAGTGCTTAGGGATATTACAGATAAACTCACTGGTAATAGTGAATGCCCAAACTAATCCTTTGAATTAGCAAGCTGAGTGGATCAAAGAATGGTCAGAGGGCAATGAGAAGTCTGCTCTGTATATTGGGCCAAGATAAAGACATAGACCTATTTCAATGAACAGCCTAACATGTGATTCCTGTGCTGTGCTGAAACATTACTGTCGAATTTTAGTCTACAGTATGTGATGGAGGGTGTTTGGAGGGTGCCAATCAATGGTAGGTCCTACTTCTTTACTTTCCCCCTGTTTTAAAAAAAAATATCTGTCTTAATTTTTTTTCAGCACTAAATGACCATTATTATGTCGACGTGCTTCTCTTTACTCAAACAAACAAATGAAGTCTGATGGATTTGTTCCAGGTTCAGTTATACAAACTGCCTTCCTTCAACTCATGCTTTTTTCTGATCCCTTTTATCAACTTTGATCTTTTGAGATGTTCCGGTTCTAGATGTTTCTCATTTCTACTTTAATTAGGCGGGTGGTTTGCGGGTGCTCGGGTGTGGCTTGCTTCTTCTTTCCTATCAAACATCTATTGTCTTTATCTCCCCTTCTTCTTTTTTGTGTTTGTTTTTCTCTTGTAACACCTCTGATCTTCTGGCGCTCATATGACCTTATTGTGTTGCAGGTGCCGTAAAACACTTACTAAAACTAAAAAAACTTTATTTAGAAATTCCGCTCAGTAAAGTTTTCCAATGTAAATGTATGAGGAGAAAAGTGAATTTACGTATAAATAGTTTCAAAGATATGTAGAAAAGGTGAACTGTTCTTTATGTATGACTAAAATGTTGCACCTCTCATTTATTTCACTTTGGGCTTCTAGCATGTAACTTCACTCATTTCACAATCATGACAATGTATCTCATTAGTCAAGTGTGCAATATTATGCAAATGTGAGAAGATCTTTGGGGACTGCTTTTGCTTTAAATGTTTTTAGATGAGTCAAAACAGTAAAAGTTCTGTAGTGGGTGATTGGCGGATGCTCTGGTGTGGTTTGCTTCTTCCTTCCTATCAAATATCTATCGTCCTTATCTCTCCTCCTTCTTTTTTTTTTTTGGTATGTTACTCTCTTGTAACACCTCTAATCTTCAGCACTTTTTTGACCTTATTGTGTTGCAAGTACCGTAAAACACTTACCAAAACTGAAAGTTCTGTAGCACTTGAGGCCAATATATCTGTTCTTCACCTGGTTTCTTTTCTCTGTAGGAACCAGACCAGCTTGTATCAACAATAGACTTCCGCTACATGTAAGCTTTTAGACCTTTCTCCGTCTGAGCATAGATTATATGTGTCACAATGTGGTGGAATATGGCGCTCGTCAGTTTTGGGACATGTGGAGTTATTGGTGTCATCTTAAAGGCTTTGTCCATTTGCCCTGCTCTTGATGAAAACAATATCCATTTGTCTCTGATACAAGTCAAGATATTGGGGATTGAAGGAGGTGGGGTCGCCTGGTTTCAGAGGTAACATTAGCGGGAAAATGGCTGCCAAAGTTGAGTTATTTCCTCAGCTTGAGAGCCTGTGGAAACTGAAAATTTAAATCTTGTATGCCTTAAAGTAACGTTTTTCAGTACAATCCGCACAGAAATGTGTAGGGCTGAAATACCAAAATTCTATAAAAATTCCCAAACCTGCGGAAAAATGCCAGTGTCTTGACTTTGATTTGGATTATTTTGACAAGCGCCTGATTTCACCACGCTGCCTCACATATGTTTTCACTCCCTGATTGTTTCACAGCACAGTGTCATGGAATTTGTCCTTTTGCTGTTACAATGGACAGTGTTTTTGCTTTGCCATTTACTAATTTTTACAGGTTAGTATAGTAGTATAGTATAGTATAAGGTTTTACAGGTTACTCATACAGATTTCTCAACAAGTTTGAAGTGTTAAAAATATCTAGAGAAGGAAATTTCTTCCTTTAAGTTGCTACTATTTTCAAGTTGTTTGAATGTTTTTAATGTTTTGAGCAATGTAATACTTGAATTCTTTTTTTTTCTCCACATCTGAACATTTGACATCATTCAGATCTTTCCTTTGCTGTCGCAATTTTTTGTTGTTGTTTTTTATTTTTTAAATTTACATTTTCTATATTTCTTTCCATTTCTTTTTCTATATTTTTGTATCCTTTTTTTACTTTTTATTTTATTTTGGGTTGGAGGGGTGGGGGTGTTGTTGTTTGGGGGTAGCTGTTACTTGGCTCGCCATATGAACCCTGGGTGACAGAGATAGTCAACATCCCGGGGCGGTGCCACTGACTGAAGTGTCTTTAGGCCATTCCAAAGGGGGGATATTAACAGGTTCTTATGCACAGTAGAATTGTAAATTGTTAATGGGCTGATTCATTGATGTCATGCTCATAACTGTGCCTGAGCTGCAACAGGTAACTGCTGCATTTTTTTTCCTAATCCTTACTATCGTCATTTTATCCTCTACTTCTTTTGTATTTTTGTCACACTCTTTTTTGTGTTCACGCCTTTGTGATTGAAAATTCGAGTGTTGCAATATGAGTCCTCTGTACCTCCCTCCCAGCACCTCATTCCCCGTCCCTGATATCACAGCCCTGCACCTCTCCCCACCTCTTTAATTAAGGATAATGTAATTATTGTATTAGTGGATTTATTTAACCCTATTCATACGTCGTGTTTTACTATCGTATCCATACGACGTGGGGAACGCTGTTCCTCCACTTTCTGAAGAGGAAATTTACTCGTTAATCCAATCCGTACGCTTTGCATAGCAGTCTGTCAAAATGATATTTGAGAAATACTGAAAGTTTCATAGAGATCTTTGTACTAGAAGTATTCTAAAATGTGAAGAATACAACCCCGGGGGTACAAAATGCCCCAGGGCGTATGGATAGGGTTAAAGTTCTCTACAAAAAGGCTCATTCTTGTGTTGTGCTTTTCTGATTCAAGGCAGGATTCAACAACTTTTTGGTTGTTTTTTTATCTTGTTTTTTTATCTTGTTTTTTTATCTTGTTTTTTTATCTTGTTGTTTTTTTAAGCAATGATACATTCTTATAAAGTGTGTTTACTCATTCAATGTAAAAAAAAAAGAATGAGAGACAAAATCTGTTGCAGAAGATTAGATTTCCACCCTTTCGAGTGTTCCAGGATTTTCCCTATCCTGGTACACTGCTTTTCACTGATCTTTCAGTAATAATGATAATAATGAACGACCTTTATATAGTGCTCAACCCCGATTTAAGTACACAGGCTCTGAACGCTTTACAATACAGTACAACGTACAACAGTAACATAAAACGTTGTGTTCTAACTAGAAGAAAACCACTCCAAATATTCATCTTAGTAATTTAAAAACAAAAATGACTTCAGCTGACGTTTGAATAAATCAAAAGATTTGTAAGACATGAAAGTGTGTTGTTTAGAAGCATTTAAGAATGACGCTGTCTTTATCACTTGAAAAATATTTAGATAAAACTTTCAACAAGATAGTAAATAATTATTGCACACGAGTTTAATGAGATAAATCTAGACATGGATAAGGCAGTAGTAAGAGCTACATGATCTAGTCTAAAGTATAGAATGACTTGTTGGTGTGAGCTGGTGGTTGCTTTTTGTTGCTATTGTTTAATTAAAAATTTTTTTTATTTTTTGGGCTTTTTGGGTTTTTTTTCTTTTCTTTTCTTTTTTTTTTTTGGTTGTGTTTTTTCGAGTTCAGTTTTTATTTGGTCGCTTTTAAGGACAAGCAGATTTCGGGGGTTTCCAGAAGTGTTAACCTACTCCAAAAGTGGGCATTGCCCTACCTATAGGAGAAGTTTGGTTTCATTGGTGTGTATATTTGTTTGGATATAGAGAAAACTCTCCTTGTCTTTTAAAGAAACTGAACTAGAGGCAAAAACTTTACCTTCGATTTTCTCAAAACAGCATTTTTTGGGATAGCCCCCTTGTACATGTACTTAAAAGCGACTATTTGTTGAAAACAGTGAGAGTGCTCTCAGACGAGACAGGAAAGAAGTGCACTCCTACATTCTGCACTAGGCAATGACAGAAAGAACAGTTTGAGTCAATACAAAAAAATGGCTTTTTGAGATTAAGAAGATGCCTTGCAAGATTTTAACTTTGTTTGAAATTGTTTGTTTCGTTATGTTTTAGATATTATTGTTGTGTTTTGTATGTTATTAAGAAACCTATTTAAAAAGAAAGGGTTTATATATGTTGTCCCAAGATTTTTTTTTCTGAGCTGTAGCAGAAAATTACTACATGTCTTGATATTTATATTATTTACTTTTTGTCTTTCACAGAACTGATGCCTTGACCAAAGAGGAAGCTCTAGGTATGCCTTTTGTCCTGTCCATTGTGCAAAGAAAGAGAATGTAGATTTGTACTAAAAATAATAGTAGACGTTTTAAGTCCCCTTTGACACACTTTAGATAATTCAGGAGGCCAGTGGCTTCGGCCCTGCCTGTCGGGGCCAATCTGGTCCTAGCGGGATACAGCATCTCAGCACATAGATGGAGATGCTCAATAAAACTTTCCCCCACAAGGGAATTAAACTGACATCTTCAGCATGTGGAGACAACGTGCCTAATGGCTTCACCCGTAGAGGTATGGCTTTCTATGTCAAAATAGTGTCATATCTGCTAGAGCTTATCAATTAACCCTATCTGTATGTTATGTTTTTTAATGTCATATCCATACCACGTTGGGAACTCCGTGCCACCATTTTCCAAAGAGGAAATTAAACTCTTTAATCGGATCCGTACGCTTTGCATAGCAGTCTGTCAAAATGATTTTTTGAGAAATACTGAAAGTTTCAAAGAGATCTTCGTACTAGAAGTATTCTAAAATGAGAAGAATACAAACCCAGAGGTATAAAATGATCCCAGGGCGTACGGATAAGGTTGAACAAATGGAACACATTTTTGAACACCTCCTGAATCTGTCAGGGATAAAGCTGATGTTACCCTGTGGCTTTGATTTTGTACTACATTCTCAGAACTTGATACAGTATGTGTGTTTGTTTCTTTGAAATGTTCCTTTTTTTCTGTTTTTTTGGTGCTCTTTTCATGTTTCCCAGCAGTTCAAAGCAACTCGAAGAAACATTTTTGTCGCCACTGAAATGTGCAAACCCTATTTATTGTTTGTTTATGTTTCAGACATCTTGAAGAGCATGCAGACTGGCAAAGCTAAAAGAGGTAACTCTCTTCACACTATGCTGTTTCTTTAAAAAAAAAAATTTTTTTAACTTTGTTTTTTATTGTATGTGAGTCTGAAATTTTAAGCAGAATCTCTGCTTTGAGATAAGTATGAAAGTATGAATGTCTGTTTTTTTAACAGTGTAAGTATTTGTTAGAACTTCTACACGCCCTTCATTACCCCCCACCCACCCCCACCCCACCCCCGGGGCAGTGCTACTGACTGAAGTGTCTTTAGGCCATTCCCAAAGGGGGGGGGACATTTTTCGTTCTTATGCACAGTAGAATTGTAAATGGGCTGATTCAACAATGTCATGCTCATAACTGTGCCTGATCTACAACAGGGAACTGCTGCTTTTTCTTTCCTAATCCTTACTATCATCATTTTCCTCTACTTCTTTTGTATGTTTGTTACACTCTTGTGACCTGTTATTTCCGGGGTACCTTGAAAGTCAAAACAGACTTTGTGCTGTTAAAGCTAGAGAGGTGACCAGAGTAAGCCCGATTCCCTGTAAAGACTTCTCTGCTGACATCTACCCCTTGGAGCTCATATGACTTTATGCAGTTGCGAGCGCCGTAAAACCTCTACTAAATAAAAATAAACCCTTCATTCAGCACTTTTGTGACCTAATTTCCTTACAAGTGCTGTAAAACTTTTACTAAAAAAAAAATTAACTTCTGCTGGAAAAGAAATATTAACATACAGTGCTGCAACGATTAGTGTCAAGTTACTGTAAAAATTTGGAAAAATGTTTTTTACTCTCTTGTAACACCTCTAGTCTTCTGGTGCTCATATGACCTTATGCAGTTGCGAACGCTGTAAAACTTCTACTAAAACTAATCGTGTGCCTTTCAGAGCAAGAGCTAGCAGCCTCTGGTTTCCCAGCGTACACCACTTCCTGTGCCTGGTTGGGGTACAGCGACGAGAAGATAGAGAGAGTAAGTCAAAGTCTAGATGAGATAGATCAACCAATTCCATGCAAAAATTTTTTCGTTTTCATTGAAAATCAACACATATCGACAGGATGAGAAATATATCCACTGTAATTGGTATTTTAGAAATCCTGAGGAATAACTGGTGTTTGTGTTTATATTTATTTTGATTTAATTAATGTCCTGCTTGTAGAACTAACTGCAGGATAGCCTATTTGGAAGAGGAAGATCTCCAAGAAAGCTTTTTTACAGAAAAAAAAATCCTAAAAAAAGCTTTCTGGTGTTTGGAGGTGGGCAGAATTTTCCAGTCACCTGTGTTTCCTGGAACATTTGCTTATGGAGTTAATCTCAGAGATACCCAAAGCACTTTTAAATATTCCACGTATTGCTTCTTGTTTCCCTTTTTTTCAGTTATGCAAAGAAGCAATGGCAGAAGGATTCACAAGGTAATATCACTGTGATCGGTTCAGAGTGAGCACAAAGTGTTTTAATAATGATGATAAATAGCCTTTATATAGCGCATGTCCCCACTCGAAAGCAAGCTCTATGCGCTTTATGCTATATTTTTACCCCAGCAGACCATAGAACACTCCGAAACGTTCTCAGCTTCCCGGGAAGCACGCAGTGCAAGCAGCTGATTAAGCGCTGAAACACTAATAAGCTGACAAGATCTTTCACTGTCTATAGCTGGGTACCCATTTTCACCTGGGTGAAGGGAGGAAAATTTGTGTAAAGTGGCTTCCCAAGGACACAACGTCGGGCCCGCGGCTCAAACCCCCGACCCTGCTACCTCACGATAACGAGTCCGGTAGCCTAACCACTAGGCCACCAACGCCATGTTTCGTGTCCTTGTTCTCTGAAAAGTTCAAAGTAGTTAACACAGTAAAGTCAAATTTACAAGAAAACGAGGAAAACTTATCAGAAATCTTTGATGAAGGACTTGTATAACTTTGTCTGTGTCCTCGTGGCACGATGGAGGGATTTTCATTCTCTTTTACAACACATCGTGTTCTTTCGATGAATTTAATTTAGACTGATGATTCTGAAAGTAACATCACTCTCTGTCATAGAGATTTGTAATAGAGTATTTTTGTAATGAAAAATGATGTCGATGTTGATTTTGTTTTTAGTCAGTGTCTTATTGTGCTGTATGTTGTTATTATTAAGTCGCGGAGTTTTTCTGTGGGTGATTGGCGGGTGGCTCTGGTGTGGTTTGCTTCTTCTTTCCTATCAATCATCTATCGTCTTTTCTTTTTTGTGTTTGTTACTCTCTTGTAACACCTCTAATTTTCGGCACTTATATGACCTTATTGTGTTGCAAGTGCTGTAAAACAATTACTAAAACTAAAAAAGGTTTTTTTCTGTGCAGTTTAAACTAATCATCAAAGTGATGTGGCCCAGAGAAAATTTTGATGACCACCAATCCTAGCTTTGGTCATATTTCATTGGTCGTTTTCTTGCAGGTTTAAGATGAAGGTTGGCTCAGACCTGGAAGACGACAAAAGACGAGCCAAGATCTTGAGACAGACGATGGGACCAGACAACTTGCTGGTTGGTTCGGGCGTATTGACCATTTTTAAATATATTTGATGACGTTTATGAGATTAGACAAGATTATACTTTATTGAGAGAAATTTTTCTTGGCTGTACAGGGCCGTAATAAAAACACATGCAGGTATACTTAGAATTTAAATCATACCTTGCTTGTTTTTTCCTGCACTAAGTGACCTTTCTTGTCGATGTGTCTCTATTTTTAAAAGTAAGCCCCTGACTGTGGGTGGTCGGCAGGTGCTCTAGTGTGGTTTTCTCCTTCTTTCTTATAAAAAATCTGTGGTCTCTGTCTTCCCCTCCTTCTTTTTCTGTGTTAGTTACTCTCTTGTAACACCTCTAATCTTCGTCACTTATTACATATTACCTTATTGCGTTGCTAGTACAGTAAAACTCTTATTACTAAAACTAAAACTTAAAAGTAAACCCCTGACTGATGCTTTGTCCCCCCCCCCCCCCCCCCCCCCCAGAGTGTAATTACTATCATCATGGTGTTCCTAGATGGTGGACGCCAACCAGAAGTGGGAGGTGCCTGAGGCGATCGACTGGATGAAGCAGCTGGCGCAGTACAAGATCACCTGGATCGAGGAACCCACCTCACCGGACGATGTTCTGGGACATGCCGCTATCTCCAAAGTACAGTCCAACTTGCTCCAATGGCAATAACAATAGTAATAATAATGATAATGATAGTAATAATAACAATAATATCATAATAATAACAACAATAATAAAAAATAATGATGATAGCAATAATTATGAAAATGATAATAATAATAATAACTATGACAATAATGATGATAACAATAATGATGATAACAATAATGATGAAAACAAAATGACAATAACAATAATAATAATAATGATAGACAGCATTTGTATAGCACAAATTACCACTCTACAGCAAGCTCTATGTACTTTACAATCTATAATTACCCCAGCAATCTCAACTTCCTGGGAGGTATCGAGTGCAAGTTGCTGTTTTATAGGTGCTAAAACACTAACATACTTACAAGATCTTTTGCTGTCTATGGCCGGATGCATGACGGATCATGTTAAAACAAGACAAAACTAAGGCACCCCGTCAGCGATACGTCCGCAAAGAGTTGATAAAAAATATTGCAGCAAGACCAGTAGATTGAGAAAATACCACAAAGCTGCAAAAGCAGCTTATCCTAACTTTGTACTAAATCAGAAGCTTGTAATGTGATGGTTAAGCTTTTGTCATTGCACATTTGAAGAAGTGAGTCTAATTCCAGTAATACAGGGTTTTTTTTATCAAGTAGGCCTGTATTTGTCTGTACTTTAGAGTTCTGTATCCAGTTCAACACGGGTTGGCCCTGACAGGCAGGTTAAAGCAACTCGCACCCTAATGATCTGAATTTTGAGTATGTGGCATAAAACATGTGCTGTATCCGAATTTTGTCGATGTGGCATAAAACATGTCAGCATCATCATTGCCTTTCTCACCCTGCACCAGGGTATAGACCACGGACAAACACCTTCCACCTTTCTCTATCCTGGGCTAGCTTCTTGATGTCACTCCGTGTCTTCCCACCTTTCTTTACATCCATTTCTATCATTCTTCTCCATGTTCCGCGCGGTCTTCCCCTTCATCTTTTACCCTGTGGATTTCAATCCAACACTTTTTATGGCTAAAACAGCACCTGGACATGGATGGCTAGTTCCTCTATAAATAAATCATTGATGATGGTCCAACGCTTTCTTTGCTATGTATAAAACATGAGCTGTATCTCTGAATTTTGTCGATGTGGCAGAACATATTATGCGTAGCCGTCCCTGTACCCGTTTTTTGTCCCTCTCCGCAGGCTCTGCAGCCCCTGGGCATCGGAGTGGCCACCGGAGAGCAGTGTCAGAACCGGGTCATGTTCAAACAGTTCCTGGCGTCTGGGGCCATGCAGTTTTGCCAGATTGACAGTTGTCGTCTTGGAGGAGTCAGTGAGAATTTGGCCGTGATTTTGATGGCGAAGAAATTTGGAGGTAGTTTGTCACTTTTGAGTTTCAAGTTAAAGATAAGCTTGTTAATAGTTTAGCTGCATTTTAGAGCAAGGTAAACTGATTGAAACAGCAGAAGGAAAGAAAATTACTTATCCACTTATTGCTATGTCACTTTTGGAAATATAATGTTGGAATTTTGAAAATGAAAACTTATTTTTTATGCAGAAGAAAAACATAAAAAGAAGTCACCAAAAGACGGTTGTGAATTTTTAATTTCTTAATGCTCAGCGGATGCCATGGCAAGCTTGAGAAATGAAAATGTTTCACTGAGCCTGAAGTCTTTTGGACTCTATTTGCGTGTCCTATAACACTTCAGTGTGGAAAACGGTCATTTGTACATGTGATTTTCTTGTATTTGGTGGCCGTTTAAGCACGCTCGACTGTATTTTGGTGTAAAAGTAATGTCTTCCTTTTATTAGTGGATAGGTTGAAGAGGACATTGGGAGGTCAGCTTACTACTACTTTTTAACCCCCCTCCCTCCCCATTCTGTCTGTTTTGTTTTTTTCTCAGCACTGAATTGCAGACATTCTGTCAATGTGCCTTTCTTCCCTCATACTCAGATTGTCTACTATCATTTGTACTGCTTACATCATGGATGGTTGGCGGGTGTTTTGGTGTAGTAGTAGTAGTATACTGTTTTACGGCGCTCGCAACTGCTAAGGTCATATGTTCTGGTGTGGATTGCACCTTTTTTCCTGTCACACATCATTGTCCTTTTCTTTCCTCCTTCTCTTTGTATGTTACTCTTTAGTAATAGATCTAACCTTTAACTCTTTTATATAAGCTATTTTTGTTGAAAATACTGTAAAACTAAAATTAATCTAAACTCTGCTGAGCAGGTAGTTGGCAGGTCTCTGGTGTGGTCTGCTCTTTCTTTCCTATCAAACATCTATCGTCCTTATCTCCCCTCCTCCTTTTTGTGTGTGTGTGTTTGTAAACTCTCCAGTAACACTCCGAATCTTCGGTACTTATGTGACTTAATTATGTAGCAAGTGCCTTAAAACACTTACTATATATAATAATATGTAATTTAAATTTGTATGTATACCTGCGCGTGTTTTTACGGTCGTGTACAGCCAAGAAAAATTTCCCTCTAGGATAATAAAGTATTATCTTATCTTATCTTATCTTAAAGCTAAAGCTTTGTAAGTGTGTTGACCAGACCTAACCTTTAATTTCCCCGTCCCCCCCCCCCCCCCCCCCCACTCCCCTGCAGTGCCTGTGTGCCCTCATGGTGGCGGCGTGGGCCTGTGTGAGTACATCCAACATCTGTCTGTGTTCGATTACATCTCCGTGTCGGGGTCGCTGGACAATAGGTGAGGGATCTGATGGCTCGATGACTGTAATCAGCATTGCTTATTATTCTTTTTCTTTTTTTTTTTCTTTTTCTTTTTCGGGGTACATTTTTTATGATGCGCGCAACTGCATACGGTCAAATGAGTGCGGAGGACACATTAAACATTTTTCATCAATTTAGATTTTGTGAAGTTTACAATTTTTGTCTACTTTGTGCTGATAAATTGTGTGTGTGCCTGGAGATAGGAACAAAAAGTCAGCTCATATCATCTTGAGCTACGGGCTGATAAAGTAAAAAATTAGGTCTGTTTAAAAAAAAAACTAAAGCATATTTCCATGAAAACAAACTATAGTTCCACCATTTCTGAACCACAGTTTAGAAGGATTTGAATACATTTGAATTTTTTGTATTTTATTAGAAATTATTTTAAGGGTAATGGTCGGGTGTTCTTTTAAAAACTTGAAAATGGCTTTAAAAATTGACTGAAATTGATGCTATAATATATGTGAGGCAGCGTGGTGGAATCAGGCTCTCGTCAAAATAATCAAAATGAAGAAACTTGCATTTTTTCTGCAGGTTTGTGAATTTTTATCAAATTTTTGTTTTTTGGTTCAACACCTTTCATGCCCATTAAAGAACTCATTTTTGGGTGGATTTTTCTGAAAAGCGTTGATTAAAAGTACAATAAATGAAAATTTTCAGTTGCCACGGACTCTTAAGCTAAGGAAATAACTAATCTTTGGTGGCCATTTTCTCACTAAATTTACATCTGAAAACAGGTGACCCCCACCTCCTTCATTCGCAAATATCTCGTCTTGTATTCAAGATAAATGGATATTGTTTTCATCCAAATAAAGACAAGTGAACAAGCTTTAAGATGATACCAATAACTCTACATGCTCAAAAATTGACGAGAGCCTGATTCCACCACGCTGCCTCACATATGGTCTGGCTCCTCTTCCTCTGCCTCTGCCCTTGGTGTGAAGCTGAACCCCATCATGTTTGTACCAAAACAATCACGTAGTTTCCCCTGCACTAACAAACTGACAAGATCTTTCACTGTCTATAGCCGGGTACCCATTTCCTCCTGGGTGAAGTGAGGAAAATTTGTAAAGTGCCCTTCTCTAGGACACGACGTCGGGCCCCTAGACTGACAGGATCTGAACCCACGACCTTATGGTTGGGAGTACGATGACAAAAGCTAAAATTACAACTGACATCACTTAAGTGCAGTACAGTAGAGGGAGGAGTATTTGCTATTCAGTGCAGTAGAGTAGGATTGTTTACTGTTCCGTGCAGTACAGTATGATTGTTTTGCTGTTCAGTGCAGGACAGAATGATTGTTTTGCTGTTCAGTGCTGTACAGTAGGATTGTTTACTGTTCAGTGCAGTACAGTATGATTGTTTTGCTGTTCAGTGCAGTACAGTATGATTGTTTTACTGTTCAGTGCAGTACAGTATGATTGTTTTGCTGTTCAGTGCAGTACAGTATGATTGTTTTGCTGTTCAGTGCAGTACAGTATGATTGTTTTGCTGTTCAGTGCAGTAAAGTAGGAATGTTTGCTGTATTCCCCAGGATGACTGAGTACACAGCCCACCTTCATGAGCACTTCGTGTCCCCTGCTGAGATGAAGAATGGCTGCTACGTGCTGCCTCAGGTGAGATAATTGGTCGCTTTTAGTTAAGCTCAGGGGGCTATCCCAAAAAATACTGTTTTGAGAAAATCGAAGGTAAAAGTTTTTGCCTCTTGTTCAGTTTCTTTAAAAGACAAGGAGACTTTTCTCTTATAACCAAACAAATATACACACCAATGAAACCAAACGTCTCCTATAGGTAGGACAATGCCCACTTTTGGCGTAGGTCTCTGGACTCAGTGACGGGCGTCACCTCAACAAATAAGAAGAGGAATCAACAATAGTGTAACAGACTCAGCCGTATCATTTCTTTTGAAACTTCCTCGAAAGAGCTTGATTGAAAGTAAACACATGTGAAGTGGAAGCAGAGCTAGGCTTTTTAAAAAATACTCGAATACTGTCAAAATTGTCCAAGGTGGCTACCCATTGTCGAGGAGAAAAATGGTTGTCTTAGACAGGTCGACATCTTGGACAGGGTCATTAGTCATTATAATATTTTAAAAATTAGTCATTATAATATTTTTAAAATTTAATTAGTCATTATAATATTTAAGAAATTAGTCATTATAATATTTTAAAAACAGTTAGGGGGGGGGGGGGTAGGGGCTGGGAAGTAAGTGTTTATACAGGTGATTGTCTTTAGTAGGTGGCCATTAGAACAGGTTCATCTGTACTATACAAGAAGAGCTATCTCAAGTTATTTTACAGTTTTATACTGTGTATAAATTTGTGAGGCAGCGTGGAGAAATCAGGCGCTCGTCAAAATAATGAAATCGAAGAAAATTACATTTTTCCGCCGATTTGGCAATTTTAAAAAAATGTTTGTGTTTTGGCTCGACGTATTTTATGTCTATTTAACAACACATTTCTGTGAGGATTTTACTGATAAACATTGATGAAAGACTCAAAAAGTGTATATGTGAGGCAGCGTGGTGGAATCAGGCTCTCGTCAATTTTCGGGCATGTAGAGTTATTGGTATCATCTTAAAGCTTGTTCACTTGTATTTGGATGAAAAATATATCCAGTTGTCTTGAATACAAGTCGAGATATTTGCGAAAGAAGGAGGTGGGGGTCACCTGTTTTCAGAGGTAAAATAAGTGAGAAAATCACCGCAAAAGATTGTTATTTCCTTAGCTTAAGAGTTCGTGGTAACTGAAAATTTAGATTTTTTGTGCCTTTAATCAACGTTTTTCAGAAAAATCAACACAGAAATGAGTTCTTTAATAGGCATGAAAGGTTCTGAGACAAAAAACAAAAATTTGATAAAAATTCACAAACCTGCGGAAAAATGCAAGTTTCTTCACTTTGATTATTTTGACGAGAGCCTGATTCCAACACGCTGCCTCACATATTTTCATTTCGCAAGGACTATCAAGCTATGGAAGTTACCACCACACTTTGGCGGCCACTTTCTCAATTATTAATACTTCCGAAACTAGGTGACCCACACCTTCTTCAATTTGAAATATCTTGACTTCTTTCTATCAAAGATAGATGGATATTTTTGACATCAAATGCAAAACAAATGAACAAGCTTTCAGACGATACAATTAACTCGGCATACCTAAAAATTGATGTGCACCTGATTTCACCAGGTCATGACACATATAGTATATAGCCTATGTGAGGCAGCGTGGTTGAATCAGGCTGTCGTCAAAATAATCAAAGTGAAGAAACTTGCAGTTTTCCGTAGGTTTGTGAATTTTTATCAAATTTGTGTTTTTTGGCTCAACACCTTTCATGACAATTAAAGAACTCATTTCTGTGTGGATTTTTCTGAAAAACGTTGATTAAAGGAACAAAAAATTTAAATTTTCAGTTACCACGGACTCTTAAGCTAAGGAAATAACTAATCTTTGGCGGCTATTTTCTCTCTAATTTTACCTCTGAAAACAGGTGACCCCCACCTCCTTTTTTAATAAATATCTCGACTTGTATTCAAGATAAATGTATATTTTTTTCATCCAAATAAAGACATGTGAACAAGCTTTAAGATGATACCAATAACTCAATATGTTCAAAAATTGACGAGAGCCTGATTCCACCACGCTGCCTCACATAACTATTGAAGTAGCTAGCCTCTTTGGTTTTGCAATGCCAAAACAGGTAGCCTCCTCTCAGTAAATTGTTTAGTTGTTCCATGTGTTTATGAAGAAGACTTTGGGTTCTTCTGCAGACTCCCATCTACAGTATTGGGTTAATTTAGTAATGCCACAACACGTGCCCAGCAATCAATCAGTTGTTTAATTGTTCCATTGCCCCCCTCCCCCCCCTAGGGCAGTGCTGCTGACTGAAGTTGTCTTTAGGCCATTCCCAAAGGGGGGATATTAACATGTTCTTATGCTGAGTAGAATTGTAAATGGGCTGATTTGTCAATGCCATGCTCATACTATGCCGGAACAACATTGGGGGAACTGCTGCTTTTTCTCTGCTCTTCCTTACTATCATCGTTCTTCCTCTACTTTTTTTTGTATGTTTGTCACCCTCTTGTAAACTGATATTTCCGGAGTGCCTTGATAGTCGAAGTAGACTTTGTGCTGTTGAGGCTAGAGAGGTGAGCAGAGTAAGCCTAATTCCCCGTTTGGACTTCTCTGTTGACATCCACCCTTTGACGCTCCTGTGACCTTATGCAGTTGCGAGCACTGTAAAACCTTACTAAAACAAAGTTGATCCATGTGTTTATGAAGAAGACCTTGCGTCCACCCACAGACTCCGGGCTACAGTATCGAGATGAAGAGCAGTTCTCTGGCGTCCTACGTGTGGCCCACGGGGCAAGTGTGGCAGAAGCTTATTCAAGATGGCGTCTACAAACTCAACTGAGACAGCAACAGCTACACGTGGTTGTGGATCTGGTCGGATTTGTGCTACTTAGTTTTGGTTAATGGACACTATTCTAGATTCCATTTTGCTTATTTCCCCTTGTCCAACGTCTATGGAAACTTTTGTGGGTTTCAAAAGCAAAGATTATAACTTTTAGATTCATAGGTCTGGTCAAAGATAGTACATAACAAGATGGGCCACTCAGCCAAAAAAGTGTCCGCCGGAAGTCCGCTCTTTGCTTCAGATGGCGCTGCAGTCTGTTTTGAAGCTCTCTTTTGTTTTTCCAGAAGAAGAATAGGAATAGCACCTCCTTGCGTGCGCAGATCGACTGCTGTTCATCAGCAGTTCGGGTTCGTTCAGTGTGGAGTTTTATTTTTTATATTTTAATGACCTCTAGCCTTTCTTTCTTAACACATGACACCCTAAGGGCCTGGACGGGAAGTCCATTGTTAGATCCTAAGCAAGGGGAAGGAACCCACCTCCCTTGAATACAAGCCTTTAAAAAACACATTAAAAAAAATACTAAACAAATTCCAAAAATCCTGAAAAAATAAAAGTTAAAAAGAAAACTGAATGTAGTTTCAGAAAAATATAACTTTATGTATGCGCAAATTGTTGGAAATGTTCTAACTTTAGTTCAATCGGGGTGTCCGACCCATCACTCTCACTCTCAGCCTTGCGGTCGGGCTCTAGATCTAAATTCTAGATTTTCTCCGTCTGATCAATCGGAATCGCTCCAAACTCTTCCTACAACGTTTTCATCAAAATCTAAGCCATCTGATTAGTCACATGCTTGTTTTTGCTCAAATCCATCGTTATTTCCGTTTTCGAACTCAACTGTGTTGCTTTTCAACAAGTCGAGACACTTTCGAAGTGTCGGTAACGCGATCGCACTTTGATCAGCTCTAATACTAAAACTACTGGCCCGAAAAATTTCGTTTCGGTATCAAACAAAAGAAGAAACTTTTTGCTATACTATGCAAATCAAAATCCCGGCCCCAGAGTCTCGTCAAGGCGAGACTTTCGTTTCTAAACATGCTGGGTCGGCACGGGCGGTTCCGGGCGAGTCAGGGTGGAGCGCGTAAGGGAATTCCCGGGCGATCCCGGGCGAGTTAGGGTGTAATGTGTTAAGTCAAATTAAACGAAGAAAACAATCACCCTTTCCTCCGGAAGAGGTTTTTTGTCAGTGTAACCATTTTTAAAAAGCGTTCTTCCGAAATTTATTCAAAAACTTGCTAGTTTCACTTTGATTTTTTAAACTCAAGTAGGATAACTCTGTTCGCTAAAGGTGCGCTTTTGCGAAGAGGGCGCCACCGAATTTTGAGGACACTTTTTTAATTGGCTCAAAGAGAGAAATGGCCCCTCTTGTTATGTAGACTCTTTGGTCTAGTTCTGTTTCTGTATCTGTTTATTTTTCCTGTTTTCATACATTAGTTCTGAGGCATATATATTTCTTGGTTTTATACTTTTTATACTTTTTTTTATACTAATCTTTGTGATGTACTTTAAGACAAAAGTAAAATTACACTTGTCAATTTTTTATGCTGTTGGCTTAAACTGTTTCTTCATTTCTTGTTAGTTTCTTAAGTCCTATGTTACTCAGGAACTATACACAGACAATGAGTTTTCCTTGTATTCAAGATAGAGTGAGCAAACAAAAGTTTTTATCAAAGCAGATTTGTGTTAATGTGTGTATCTGTTTGTGAAGATGCCACCTCAAAAGAGCAACAACAACAACAAGCTGTAAAGAGCAAAAGAAACAGCCCAGAAGTGGTAAGAAATTGAAGAGAAAGGTAAAATTACAATTTACCCAGCCCTCTGAGAATTAGTTGGAGATAAACTCCTTAATTACAGTTACAGTAATAGAATTTCTCTCTCTCAGTTGTCTTTTAAAAAAATTCAAACAGGCTCTGAAATCTGGAGCCTTTTCTTCTCCAGAGTGTGGTTTCTTCTGCAGACCTTTTTGTGATATATTGTGTGTAGGTATGTAAGCAATATGTACATATTTGTGTGCATGTAGATGTTTGAAAACAATATGTACGAGTAATATGTGTACGGTTCACATGTATGTTTGTAGGTACCATATTCACAAGAGAGTGACAAACATACAATAGAAGTAGAGGAAAATGACGATGTGTTTTCTGTTTGTTTATGCAAAGACATTACTTACCATCATAAGTTAATCAGGGTTTATAAGTTTCCCATGATCCTTCATATCTTTGGAAAAATCATTATGGTGCTATTTTGTACGACTTTGTTACTCTAGATGTGATATTATTATGATAAAAGATGACTCTGATTTCTGTCTTAATATTGTAACAATATTACAGTGAAATTCTCCTGTAAGGAATTCTGAGAAATACTTTATTATGACAAAAAATGACTCTGATTTCTGTCATAATATTGTAATAATATTACAGTGAAATTCTCCTGTTAGGAGAATGTTTAAACAAACATTTGCTTTGATTTCAGTTTTCTTTGTAGTTTGTATTGAGTAACTGAAGTTGTGATGATAAGAACATGATGAGCTTGGCTTTTGTTTATTACAGTCTTGTTATAAAATGGTTATGCACATAACTGTTCCAAAAGAAAGTTGTGATCTGCTTGCTGTGTCTGCTTTCATCCTTGGCTGATTGTACTCTGTGTAGATAGAGAGAGAGAACACAATCATGAACAAAAAAACACAAAAACGCACTGATGAACAAATGCCAACATCCTGTGAGGAGCAGCTTCAACTAACCCCGGATTGACCGTTTGCACATTGCTGCAAAGATAATGATGTAACAATGGCTGATCTTTGATGGTGTGTCTGCTTCCATCCTTGGCTGATTGTACTCTGTGTAGATAGAGAGAGAGAGAACTCATGTACCATACTGTATCGGAGAACAGTTGGGAAGACGTGATAGATAGCTGATAGTGATGGTGATGTCAGCTATAATGTAGACCACCTATTTGTAAACCTTATGTGTACAAACAGTACTGACAATCAGAGACAGAGATGGGCATGGCAAATTTGTGTCTACCTGCCTTAATACTTTGTCGCCTCATTTCGCCGATCGGCGATGTTTACCACCAAGTTTCTTTGGATTTTCCCCCCAAGTGCCTTTGCCTTTGATGGCAAGGGTTTTTACTATTTATGATGAGCCTTGAGATGGCATCAACACTCAATGATATGAATAACAATATTTAAGATTTGATCCCTTCAAGGTCCCTATATTTAAGTGGATTCCTCTGTGTGTACATGTAGTCCTCTGTGTGTACATGTAGTATTTCTGTGTGTACATGTAGTATTTCTATGTGTACATGTAGTCCTCTGTGTGTACATGTAGCCCTCTATGTGTACATGTAGTCCTCTATGTGTACATGTAGCCCTCTATGTGTACATGTAGTCCTCTGTGTGTACATGTAGCCCTCTATGTGTACATGTAGTCCTCTGTGTGTACATGTAGCCCTCTATGTGTACATGTAGCCCTCTATGTGTACATGTAGTATTTCTGTGTGTACATGTAGTATTTCTGTGTGTACATGTAGTCCTCTGTGTGTACATGTAGTATTTCTGTGTGTACATGTAGTATTTCTGTGTGTACATGTAGTATTTCTGTGTGTACATGTAGTATTTCTGTGTGATGTTGTATGAGCTGGTATTTTTGTTCTCAAACACTTACCACTGGACTTTCTATGTTACCCAGAGACTGTGGGTTGGTTGGCGGGTGCTCTGGTGTGGTTTGCTCCATCTTTCCTGTAAAAAATCTTTCATCTCTATGTCCCCTCCTTCTTTTTTGTGTTTGTTACTCACTTGTAACACCTCTAATCTTCGGCACGTATGACCTTTTTGTGTTGCAAGTGCCGTAAAACTTTTATTAAAACTAAAACTAGCCAGGGACTTTGATCAATCACTGTTTCAGAACTGCATTCCACTGATACGTGTATGTATCTTGAACTGCTGACTGCTAGAGCGCTCATATGACCTTAGCAGTTGCGAGCGTCGTAAAACCTTATACTAATACTACTACTATACTGACTGCTAGCGGGTTTTTAAAAAATACTTATTAGGGTTTTTGTCATGTTTTCTTCACTATTTTGTGACTATTCTAGGTACTGTATGTTTTGATTTATTGTAAATTGTATGAGGGAAAGCATTCTAAGAGGTTATTAGTACACAAATGGCATTCAGTGACTCATAGAAGTTGACCAGTGAGCTTTATGGAGTAGGTTGTACTTGCTTTTACGGGTGTTGTGAGGTTTGAGGAGTTTGCATTTTGAGTTTCTGCATGGTTGTCTCCCTCAAGTTGTGAACCGCATGTGTTTATGATAAAGGATCAACTGATTTACTTTTGTAGAGAATAGATCTTTATTTTATGTCTCAAAGCATTGCTGCGTTTGCAGTACAATATTAATCTGTTTCTTGGATTAGAAAACAATGTCACAACGAAATGTAAAAGAAGAAGTAGAAATGAATTTTGAACTGACTTAGGAAAAAGAAAAAAGAAGGTAAGATTGCAATGCTTTATTAATTAATCCCTTGGGACATTTTGTGTGGTCTTACAGGAAAAAAGAAGAACCGGGGCTTATTATGTTTAAGTTAATGGGGAAGTAGTCGTTGTTAAAGAACAATTGTGGCGACAGAGTTGTGGTTCATAAGACGCATGCTGCTTATCCCATGGACAGCTAAAAAAACAAATGAAGAAGTCTTGGTTAAAGCAAATTGCAAAACACAGCTTATGACGAATATACGAAAGCGACAGGCAAATTTCTTCGGACACACAATGCGGAAAGAAGCATAGGAGAATATTCTAACAGGCAAGTTTGATGGAAAGAGAGGCACAGGCAGACAGAGGGTGAGACTTACTGGCTCACAAACACCTGCTCATGCACTGCACAGTGTGAGTGTGAGCGCTGATTTACAACTTTGCGTACTGGCTGTATGAGTTCCTTCAAAGTGTCATGACTTGCTTGGTCAGAAATAGACAAATATGATTTCATGTGATCTATGAGCATTAATTAAGTGCAATATTCTCTTTTAAACCAGTTTGTTGGACAGCTATAACTTTAAGTTTTTGAGAATCAATTAGTTCAATTTTATTGCCAAATTTTATTGTATTGTGTTGATTTGTCTTAATGGGGTAAAAAGTGAACATCATTTAATTTTTTTTTCTTTTTTCTTTTTTTAAGTTTACAAATATATATGAAATCTGTGTGATATTAAAATAATATAATTAAGGGTGGTGCAATGGGTATTAGTGAGTTTTGAAAGTGGCTTTAAGTACTTTTTAAATTATATTTATGGCTTTTGACCATCTGGTGCTAACAAAATGATGAGAGTGCTCTTTTATAACCTGATAGAATTAGAAGTCTACTGATAAGCGCAACTGTGATTATAATAGGAATAACATTCTGTTTTATTTTTTTGTGCGCATTGCTTTTGATAATCTGGTACCAACGAAATGGTGAGAGCACTTTTCAAACACTTGATCGAAGTCTACTGATAGATATGCATAAAACTGTTCTTTGAATAAAGATTGTCTTTTAAGAAGCGTTCGTTTGTGTTTGTTGTTGCCTTTTCTTACCTACTGTTGTGGGTGGTTGGCGGGATCTCCCCTCCTTCTTTTTTATGTTTGTTACTTTCTTGTAACAGCTCTAATCTTCTGGCGCTCATAAGACCTTATGCAGTTGCGAGCGCCGTAAAACCTCTACTAAAACTTAAACAAACTTTACCTGCTGTTGTGTCTCTCCAATGTTCCTAGTATGTAGTGTGGGTGGTTGGTGGGTGCCCTCATGCGGCCTGCTGTTCCTTCTCATTCTGTCCTATCTATCATCCTTAGCTCTCCTGCTTTTATGTATATGTTACTCAAGATCTTTAGTAACACCTCTTATCTTCGGTTATTATATGTGAGGCAGCGTGGTGGAACCAGGCTCTCGTCAAAATAATCAAAATGAAGGAACTTGCATTTTTCCACTGGTTTTTGAATTTTTATCAAGTTTTTGTTTTTTGGCTCAACAAAGAACTCATTTCTGTGAGGATTTTTCTGAAAAACGTTGGTTAAAGACACAAAAATGTAAATTTTCAGTTACCACGGACTTTTAAGCTTAGGAAATAACAAATCTTTGGGGGCCATTTTCTCATAATTTTACCTCTGAAAACAGATTACCTCCACCTCCTTCATTCGGAAATATCTCGACTTGTATCCAAGATAAATGGATATTTGTTTCATCCAAATAAAGACAAGTGAACAAGCTTTAAGATGATACCAATAACTCTAAATGCCCAAAAATTGACGAGAGCCTGATTCCACCACGCTGCCTCACATATGTATGAACTATTTCTTTTGCAAGTACCATAAGTCTTACTGAGACTAAAGAAAGTAAAACCCATCCTCTGATGATTTATTCTTGCTCTTGAAAAAGACCTTTTCTCCAGTTCTATGACTAATATGGATCAATAAACAAGAGTTGGGGTTTTTGTTGTTGTTGATGATCATATGCCCCACCACGCGCATGGTCGCTCCCGATAGGCTGATGCTACCGAGAGCTCGTTCTAATGCACAGTAGAGTTGTAAATGGGCTGATTCAACAATGTCATGCTCATAACTGTGCGTGAACTATAACAGGGAACTGCGGCTTTTTCTTTCCTAATCGTTACTATCGACATTTTCCTCTACTTCTTTTGTATGTTTATCACACTCTTGTGACCTGCTATTTCCGGGGTGCCTTGATAGTCGAAGCAGACCTTGTGCTGTTGAAGCTAGAGAGGTGATCAGAGTAAGTCTGGTTCCCTGTAAGGGCTTCTGTGTCGACATCCACCCTTTGGCGCTCACATTACCTTATTAAGGTCATGACGGCAATGTGGGCGCCAAAGGGTGGATGGGTGTTGTTTGAACTGTAACACCGAAAACAAAGAAGAAGACATTGATGGATTAGACAAATGACATACTCTCAGGAAGTGGCAGAGCCAAGAAAGTGTTGGATTGGAATCCACAGAGTCAGAGATTAAGGGGAAGGCCACGTGGAACCTGGAGAAAAGTCACAGAAATATATGAACAGAAAAGTAGGAAGACATGGAACAACATCCAAGCGGCTAGCCCAGGGTAGGGAAAGCCAGAAAGTGTTTCTTTGTGGCCTATTCCCTGGTGCAGGGTGAGAAAGGCAGTGATGATGACGATGATGACCCACGGACATTTGTGAGGCAACGTGGTGAGATCAGGCGCTTGTCACATAATGAAATTCGAGAAATCAGCAATTTTCTTCCAGTTTGAACTTTTTTTCTGAATTTTTGTTTTTTGGCTCAACCTTGTATGTCCATTCGCAAACACTTTTATGCGTGGATTCATAGAAAAAGTTGATTGAAGGCAAAAACAAAAAATGTAAATTTCCCGTTTCCAGGGGCTCTAAAGCTATGGAAGTAGTCACCAAGCTTTTGCGTCCATATTCTCGTTAATTTTTCTTCTGAAACCAGGCGACCCTGACCTCCTTCAATAGCAAATATCTCGACTTCTCTTCACCATAGATGAACATTTTTTTTACCAAAAGGAAGGAAAATGAACAGACTTTAAGGTGATACCAATACCCCAAATGCTCAAAAATTGACTAGCGCCGATTCCACCACGACGTGAGAGATAAAATTATTGTCCATATTGATGTCTGTGGGCCAGACTCGAAACACAAAGTGCCAACGTAATATGGTAAAGTACTTCCACTCTTCAATGTTATACGCAAAGGACGTTGAGTTTGATTCCAAAGTGGGAAAATTTGTTTGTTTTTTTTGTTTTTGTTTTTGTTATTGCTTTGTTTTTGCTTTGTTTGTTGTTTTTTGGGGGTTTTTTTGCCGAGTACCTGCACCTGTGTCTGTCAGGACAAGCTCACAATATCATTTTCAAATAACTTATATGTTACTATTATATCATCATAATCATCTGCATGCTTCTTAAAGATTTAACCAGTACAGAAAAATGCCGTACATGTACTTTTCTTCCAATGTACTCAGTATCTTATATTATGACCCTAGGTATTTCTTAAAGTAAAGAGATTCCAGTTCCTGACGTTCGCGCCGGTTTTGAGATATCTCGTAGAGCTTGTCAAAAGAACGGGTGGAGAGTTATTGGCCGGTACTTGGCAAACAGGGCTTGGGAGATGGCAATGACGTCACCTGGGGAGAAATAGAAGAACAATCACTAACTAGTGACATGAAATTGAAAACGTGTTATAATGATTCTAGTTTTAATACATCTGTAGTGGATGCCCAATTAGATCTAGTCTGTCCGTCGCGCTGTCTTTGTTATTTCCCTTCTCCAGGCTAGGACTAGGACATTCAGCGTCTGTTCTTCTGTTGAAGTTGAATGTCCTGGCGACAGCAGAAACGCGCGGAGCATGCTGAGTGATAGTTCGATTTCTCTGCCGTTGAGTAAAACCTACCATCATTTTGGGTGATCAAACGTTATTGTGGCTTTTAATAAACGCAGACTCAAACTATATTTTAAAAGAAAAAGAGTAGAAAAAAACCCTCCTTTGGTCGCGGACAAAAGTGCCAATTTTCTTTTCTTTTCTTTTTTTATTACGACATGGGAGCTGTAAACACTTACTTACTGAAGCACCAGAATCTATTTAAAAAAACAACAACCCTGATATGTGCACAATCAAAAAGTGGTAACTATCGTGATGTATACAGTATACAAGTTATGTATTATACATATATATTATGGATGATATGTGTGTTTATGTGT